GTAGCTGGGGACGCGCGAGCCAGGCGGGCGGCGCGGTGCGATTCGGAGCCGCGAGGTGAGCGCCCTGGGCCGCGGGGAGCGGACCCGCCGGCGGCGACCTCTGCCCCGCGCTCCTCCTGGCGTCCGGGCGGGCTCTTTCCGCGCAGGGTGATCGGAGGGGCCGTGGCGAGTCCAGGTCCGCGCCGTCCTGTCCCCTAGGGGGCACCGCCTGCCGCGTCCGCAGGACCTGGCCATCCTGCGAGTGCCCGGCCCGGAGCCCCTGCGGGGAGCCCCTGCCCGGAGCCCCTTCCCGGCCCGAGCACCCGCCCGGAGCCTGGCGCCCCTGCCCAGGCTTACCAGCAGCGCGGGGCGCGTCTCCAGACTCTGAGAGGAAAGCTGTCGGAAGGAGGAGAAATGTGGACCGGTGGAGAAGCCGCCCGGCCGCTGGGCTGCTAGGGACCACGCGGAAAGGCGTTTCCGAGGGGCCAGCCGGGCTTGGGACCACGCCGAGGTCTGCGAGGGTGGCTGGGTCCCCCGGGTGGCGAACACATCTGCCCAGCCCTGGGCGCCACCAACAGGCAGCGTGACCCGGTGCCCTTCAGACGCCCGTGCTGCACTCCGTGATGGCCCGGTCAGCACTGCCTTCCGGACGCGTGTGGTCCGCATGTGTGTGCGGCCTGATCGTCACTCTTCGCAGATTCATGGGGGATCTGGGCTCTGAGCTGTAGTCCTGGACCTCTGTCTCACATCATCTCACCGTCGGAGTCAGAAAACAGTGGCGGAGAACTTCCCAGCATGCGGCGCTGGTAGCCAGTCAGAAGGCGGGCTGGGGTGGGCTGTGGGGCTGGGCTGCAGGAGGCCTCCAGGGATCCCACAGAAGGCCTAGGAAGTACACACCAGGCCATATGTCAGTAACCAGGAGGACGGTGCCCAGGCACATGGGCTTAGTTATCACCCGAAAGGTCCATCCACCAGGAGATGATGGCACAGATCACCCCGGACATCTGTAGCTCTGAGCAAAGCAAGGCACTAGCCAGCCCTGTTGTCTGAGGCAGAGCCGTCCGGCCAGCTTTCAGATCTGTGAGGAGGAGGCAACACCTGTCCGGACCGGGCTGCCCGGCAGAGCCTTCCCTTTCCATTTCCGTGCATCGGCGAGGCTGGCTCTGCGGAGGACGGACACCAGGGTAGTCGTGTTAGTTCACGCTTGCCGCTACCCTCACCTCAGCGGTGTAGTGCTCTGGTGGTCACCTGAGAGCTCCGTCCCCCAGACCTGCAGGCCCCTGAGCAGTGAGCCCTCTGCTCACTGGAGCTGGAGATACGCGATCGTCCTAGGCTGTTTTGGGTCCCTAGAAACCAGTGACCACAGAAACGTGACAGACGTCTGGGTGCCAAGAGGAAACTTCCTCTCCGCTCCCTGGAGCTGCGAGGAGGAAAGATGCCCAGCTGGAAGGACTGGGATGCCACCTTCTCAGTGTGATTCCTTCAGTGCCTTTACCCCGATGCCCTGTGTGGCTCGACGTACAAAATGGTCTTGACCTTTTAGAATTCCGCCTAATAGAGACCCGCCTGAAGAAAGCTGTGTGGCATACACACCTGCCCATGGGGTGTTTTCTGCTTCTGCTCACTCATTTTTCTCTCCTTCAGGAAAACCACGCACCTCCTGATTCACACATAGAGACGTATCGACTCCAAGCTCTGCAGAGGCTCCCGGGGAGTGGAGTCGGGACCACCGGGGCCTCTTCCCCAGAACGAGGAGAGCTTAACACCAGCGCCCTGTGTCAGGATGGGGAGGTGAGTGCTCCCAAGGAAAACTCATCTTCTGCAAAGTATAAGGGAGCATTGCTGAGGTGCTTAAGTATGTGGGGATCCCCACGAATAAAATGGGATCCCTGCCCTCTAGATTTACAGTCTAGTGGGGAAGGCGGCATGAAGAACTCTCATTCACGCGGGTGGATTAAAGGGCCTGCAGAGATGCGAGGGCTGCAAGTAGGAGGACTGGCCTTGGAGGTGGCCCTGGGGAGAACTGGGACAGGTGAGCCAGTGACACAGATGTGTGTGTTCCAAGCCCAGGCCCAGCTCAGCAGAGAGATCAGGCGGAGGCCGAGTCTCCCGAGTCTCCTGGCGTGTTATGTCACAGGAAGGAAGTGTAGATGTGGCCAGGAAGGTGGGCCGGGTTGTTTGTTCTCTGTGGATTGCTCACCCCTGAGGGCCCCTAGGTGAGCGTTGTAAAGTAGGTTACTGTCAGAAGGGCAGGCTCTGAGCTTTCCTGAGGGCTCCAACTCTGTGGGCAGCAGGCACTGGTGAAGATTTTCCTGGTCCAGGCTGTGCTCTGAGAAGGTCCCTAGAGCGGCGGTGAAGGCTATGTGTCAGGGTGACGTACACTGTGCTGGTCACCGGGACAAAATACCCGAGGTCATCAACTAAGGTTGCCGCTCACGGTTCCAGAGGTTTCAGTCCTTGGTCCTTGGGCCAGTTGGTGCATCAGGGGTGGAGCATGTGGCCTATGAGGTGGCACACTCGTAGGAGCCAGGAAGCAGAGGGAGAGAGTGTCAGGAAGCGGCTGGGGTCTCAACCTCCTGTCCAGACCACGCCCCCAGTGACCTCACCTCCTCCCAGCAGGCCCCATCTCCTAAAGTTCCCACTGCCTCCCAAGAGCGCCACAGGCTGGGGCCCAAGCTTTGGGGACACTGGAGATCCAGACCCTGACACACACCCTGGGAGTCCAGACAGGAGACAGGGAAGGGAGAGGGATGCGAGCAGACCACTCAGGACATTTGCCAGCATGGCACACCCGAGGTGCTGGTGAGATGTGGCCCCTGGCCAGAGGGGACCAAGCGGGAAGACCTGGCCTCAGGAACAGGGTTCTGACTCACAGCAGGGTGCAGGGGACTGATCACCGTGAGGAGCTCGCTTCCCCCTGGCAGTGTCTGGTCTGCACCCACTCTGGAGCCGGCAAGGCCTTGGCCGTCCCTTGTGCTGCCCCCGTGCCCGTACCGTCAGGGTTGTACTACCCTCCGCTGTGCGTGACAGGCGTGCTCAGCGCTGTGGATCCTGTGAGGCAGAGGCTCGTGCAGACGGACAGGCAGAGGGCACCGGAGTCTGCCCCCGCTCCAAGCGCCTGGGACCCGCGTGCTGAGCTCCGAGTGCCGCTTACAGAGTGCAGGTTGGTTGCTCTCCTCTTGCTGTGCCCGCCCAGGGTGCTTCTGACTGCACTGCCCGGGACTCTGAGCTCTCTGTGGGCACCACTTTCTTAACACAGTAAGCTCCAGGCGCAGGCCCAGCCAGCCGTCCTGTCCTCCCGGAAGCAGGATCAGGGCAGCTGACATGGGGCCAAGGCCAGCAGGGTGGGTGGGGGCCTGCGCTTGTGCGGCACAGTGGCCCGAGGCTGTCGGGTTAGTATCATCCCCTAGTTATTTCGGGGTGATCAGGTCTGCAGTCTCCCAAACGAGTAGACGGCAAAGGCTAAATAAATGAGACAAGTGGTATGATTTTAGGGCTCCAGGAGAATCAAAACCCTCTCACAGAATTCAAGATTCTCTGGGGGCTGAGACAAAGAACTTATCTGGGCGACCCGTATTTATTTGGTTTTCAAACAAAGGAGGAGGATACTGAAGAAAAGCAGGGATCTGAGAGGAATCTCACAGGACCTTGGGAGAATTTTCCCAAGTAGTAAATTCTGTCAGTCAGGAGAACTGCCTTATCTTTCGGCTGGCATTTATTGTAGGAGTGTGAGCCTGCAGCTGCAGTCTCCTTAACTTAATTGGGGTTGGAGCCAGACATCCGATTGGAGCCAGACGTCCTCAGCTGTGGCCTTATCTTTGAGGTGTCACAACTACAGGCCTCAGCGGTGACCAGTGACTCACAGAGGTTCACTTACTATGAATCCTCTGCCCATCTCCAGACAAGGGGCCTAGGCCGTGGATAGACTCACGAGTAAACATGGAGAGCCAGTTGGCTACTTTAAATCCTGCTCAGGGCTGCTTCGTAGCCTCCATCAAGGCAGAGAGAGGAGGGCTTGGAGTTGTGCGGGGCACCCTCAGGTGCAGACAGAAGACCACGCTGCAGGGTGGGATGAGCCCAAGGCTGAAGGCGAAGGAAGAAGGCTGGACAGAGGCGCACAGGTGGGACAGGTGGGACGCCCTGCGAGGGCGGGAGGAGCGGAGGCAAGGGGCCGCAGAGGGGCCTGCCGTACGGTGAGGCGGGGCGAAGCCGGCCCGGGAGCTCAGCCTTTCAGAGGCGGAGGCGTCCCAGCGCACGCAACCCAGTCACGGCAGGGCCAAGGCGGCAGACTCAGGATGGTGCAGGAAGGGCAGTGACCCCACAGCAGCAGAGGAGGCCTGCAAGGCTGGCTGCGGACACCAGGGCCGCCACAACAAAGTGTAGCACAGGGTGGCGCTCCAGGGACAGGGTCTGGGTCCCAGGAAGCTGTTGCCTCCCAGGCCTCCGTTGCTCACTGTGCAAGGCGAGGTGAAAGTGTCTGCAGTGCTGACTCCCGCTTGAGGACCTGCAGAGGGCAGCGCGGTGGGGCGGGAGCCGGGCAGGGTGGGCCAGTGAGCCACCATGTACCCAGCGCCAGCCCAGGGTGCCAGAGCCACGTCCTCACGTGCGTGTCCTCTGTCAGTGCTGTGGTGTCTCCCGCATGATTTCGGCGTCTCAGGTTATTGCGGAGAAAAGGCTGTGGGGAGCCAGGTGCCCAGCCGCTTGGGACGGTGACAGGAGGTGCAGCTGTGTGCGTGTAGCGCAGAAGCCCCGCATGCCGGGGATTTCCTGACCCAGGCTTCCCGACTCCACAGGGGACACTGCTAGTCCTACCTCAGCTGCTGCCGGGGGCTGGGCGAGCCAGGATGTCTGCTGCCCCAGGGCTGCTGGGCATCGCTACTGCAGAGTCCATAGACACCAGAGCCACCCTGGAGTCTGGGACCAGGCATCTCGTGAGCGCAGGGACCCTGGCCTGGCTGTGGCATCTGTGGGCTAAGGGAAGTGTCGGGCAGAGGCCCAGAGGTTGGCTGCTTCGTGCAGCTCTGCTGTCCCCAGTAAGGTCAGGAACCTGCTCTGCTAGTGGCTGGGAGTAGCAGAGTGGACCCCATGCAGTGGAAGGGACCAGCCCTGCTCCTGTCTTACGACCCTAACACCATGTCTGATCAGACGCTGCGGCCGCGGCGATAGTGCTATTCCACTTCCCGCAGAACCCAGACACACGTTGACCCGGCCTTCATGATCCAAGCCGAGCCACACACAGCGCCCTCAGACCCTCCCTCCTCCAGCCCCCGCGCCGGAGTCGGTCTTCTCCTTCTCCGCCTGCTAAGTTCACCTTCCTGTATGAGCTTTTCTAGTGCAGAAACCTCACATAGCGGTGTGCAGCTCAGTGGTGGAGTGTGTGCTCCGCATGCACGAGGCCCCAGTTCAATCCCTGACTCTGAATGGAGGAAAAAAAAAATAGACGCTTCATGTAAGTGGACTCTTACACTGTTTGTTCTGTGTTTCTGGTTGATTACACTTGAAGTGTCTTCACTGTTCATCCTTACGGCAGCATGTCAGAATTTCAGCTGAGTCATAACCCATTTTATGTGTGCCAACTGTGCTTGTTGATTCTTCCTTGGGGACCTTTGGGTTGCCCCCCTTTACTGCTGCAAACATGGCGTGCTGTGTCTGGCTTCTGCTTTCGGTTTTTGGGGTGTGCCGGGTGAACTCGCTGAGTGGTGGGATTCCGGGCATCGGGTCTGAGTGCGAGAGCTGCCGGAACGCTGTCTCTGGGCACAGCCCAAGCAAGGAGATCAGATTGTAGCCGGCACTTTCTGCCATGATTTCACAACTCTGGGAACAAAGCCACACACTCAGCCAGAGCCGCTTTTCCGAGGGGGCCGGTCACCTGCCACCCCGCTGCACTGGGCGAGTCCCAGCTGCGGCAGGCTCAGGAGCCATTGGTTTGTGCCAGTGACTCTCAGGTGGGGTCTGTGCGGAATTCACACCCTTGCCTGCAGTGCAGACTCTGAGGGAGCCGGAGCTGGCGTCTCCTCCTCTCGGGCCTGGGGAGTGGCTTCCTCCTCTGGGGCCTGGGCGCCTCTAACATCAGCCTGCTCACACCTGCTGATCCTGTTCAGTCCTGGCAGAAGGAGAACTGGGCTGGGGCACTCAGGCACTTGGGTTGGATTCCCACAGCATGGGAGACGGCGAGGGAGGTGTATTAAGCACAGTGAGGCTGCCTTGGTCCCGAGGTGGTAAGAAAAATGCATAGAGAGGAGAAGAGGAAATTGTCGTTTCGAAACTGCAGTGTTTGAGAAAGCTGCAGCTGGGAGACAGGATCAGAGCCCCCCGCCCCCGCCCCCGCCCCAGTCCTGTTTCTTTCTTCCAGGCTCCTCCCTCCTCACTTCTCAGGAGCCTTAAAGACACCGTTCAACACAGCAGTCGGACCTGTGCTTTCCTTCCGTCCTGTAGACTCGCAGTTCTGCAGCTGCCGCTGGGAAAGCGGCCCTTGACCGGGCGCGGTATCGCTGCACCTCTCGCCGTGCACGGCGCATGCACTCAGCGCCCCGGGGCCTGAAGTCAGAGTCTGCTTTTCCTCGAGCCCCCCAGCGGGTAACCTGACAGGCACAGATGGCTGAGTGTAGCTCAAAGGGAGACATCCTGGATGGCCCACTTGAGGCCACCCCATACCATACAGATACTCCCCCAGGCCCTAGTCCTGCCGTAACATTGTTTTGAAATCTGGCTTTGTTTCTAACACCATTGATGTCAGGGAGCATTGATGTACTGGGGAGGATTATCCGTACATTAGAGAGCGCACTCAGGGACCCACGTGGCACCCTGTCTGGAGTGCTCTTGGGGCTTCCACCCCAGACACCGGCTTTCCCTGGGCCTCTCGGGCTTTCCTGGGGTCTTGGTAGAAGCCCCCGGACCTAACCCTGCATGCATCCAGCCTGCAAACTCAGCGTCACCAGGAAGACACGGCGAGCCCAGGCCTGTGTGGACGCGGCTGCAGTGGCCTTGGAACCACGGCACAGGGCTTTGGGCCGGCGGGGCACCCCGGGATCTGTCTCAGACTCCTCCCTGCAAAGCCTGTGGAATAGCTGCTACAGCTTGAGCTGCAGTGTGGTCCTGCCCCTCCCGAGATGCTCCTGAGGTTAAAGCATTTCATTTTCCAACCACACGATCCTAGCCCCAAGCCCTCCCCACTGCCTCGCGCACACAAACTTCCATCTTTCCAAAGTCCAAGACCGTATCGATTACAGCATTGGTGTGTTTCCTAATCATTTCCTAATGTGGCTAATACTCTGCTGTCATTCCTACTGGGCTCCTATCTTTTTGATGTGCTGCTGATGTCAGGATTTTGTTGTTTTTGTTTTTGTTTGGGTGCTAGGAGAGGACCCAGGGCCCCACACGTGCTAAGCGGGGGCTCATCACTGAGCTGCACCCCCAGCCCCACTGACAAAGAGTTTTGTGTGGTTTGGTTTGGTTTTGTGGTACCAGGGATCTGTAAGTGCTGGTTTTTTTAATGTTTTATTCATTTTAACCAGAAGTCTTGTGGCTATCATTGGTTACACAGTGCTGCAATTTTTAAGCAGGAAGGTGTAAGTCTCCTGGTGGAACTAGTCATAGAGGTCATCCTACTTTGCCCAGTGGACCCGGGAGTTCTGACTGCCCTGGCACAGGAGCAACTTGGGTTACAACCAGAATTTTAGTTTTAACTGACGACCAGTCTTGAGCTGACCGGTCAAGATCGAATGAACCTGAATGCTGGTTACTTGTGCTTCCAGATGGCCTCAGATACAGATACAGATAAAGGGCTCTGGAGGGAGCGTGACAACACCCTTTCCTGTGGGGTTAGTTGAGAAATCCTGGGCCAGTGTCTCTCTAAGCAGGTCAGATCTGCTGTGCACCAGGAGGGACTCTAAAGGTCTTCAGCTGGCACCTCAAGTTACAACAGCCTCAGGAGCAGATCGAGTTCATAAGCTGAGGGTCCACCTCAGCATAGGGGTGATCTGGGAGCATTCTGCCCCAAGAGCTTTTAGTCCCCCCCGTGTCCTGACCACCACTGGACACCCAGCTTGCTGGCGGGGTGGCTCCTGCCTCAAGGGCCAGGGGAGGAGCAGGTGGCCCCAGCATCCCCCCACTCCCATGTGGTGCAGCCCCTTCTGGCCTCAGACCTCTGTCTATTCTGCCAGGTCCGTGTCCACGTCGTCCAGACCTTGCCTGCTGCCCTCATGCCATGTGGACTCTGTTCTTGCGCCCTGTCTTCCTGAGGGTGGGCTTTGTCTGCAGCAACCCACCTAGCTCGTATTCTCTCCAGACCTGGTGTCCTGGGGTTCCACAGCGCTCATCCCTCGCAGCTGGGCATCTGTGGTGGACCCTTCCTCGGCTTCTGCCTGCGAAGCTGCCTCTCCAGCACCTCTGCTGTCAGCTGGCCTGGCCCCCCTCACCTTCCCTGCCACTGGACGCACAGAGATCCGCTTCTGAGGTAAAACATGTGCTCGCTTATTTCAAGCCCCTGGGTACTTCATGAGCAAACAAATGGGTCTGCAGGGTTCTGTGTGGTGCAACATAAGCCCGAACAGTTTTCCCTGCAACTGCATCTTTAGCCGGCTTTATCCGAAGCCCTTCAATTCCAGCTTCCCTGCGGCAGACTTGAAATTTTGCTGTCTTGAATATGTGTCGTTTGAGGCGGTTTTCCACTCACCGCTACCCCACTGACGGCCACACTGCCTGGTTCTGTGTGTGCAGTAGAGACCAGCTCTGAGTCCTCCAAAGACAGAACTGAAAGTGAAAATGGTAACTGGGTTCTGAGCTGGGGTTCTCACTCCAGGTCTCTGGGGCTCTCTCTGTGTGGTTATGGAAGGTGAGAATGTGTCCTCATGTTTGGATAAGGCAGGGGCTGCAAAGCTGTCAACAACTGGGGGATGAAGCCAGTTCTTCCTGATCACTATTTGTTTTCTTTTCTTTTGGTATTGGGAATCGAACTCACGACCTCGTGCTTGCCAGGCAGGTGCTTGTGCCACTGAGCTGTGTTCCCGGCTCTGGTCATTATTTGTGACAGTTCAACGTCAGAACATGTTCACGTTTTGGCCACTTAAAATGAAGTGAAGTTGCGGTTTCTGTTCTCTTTTCTTCTAGAACAGAGGTCAGCAAACTGCGGTCTGTGTTTAGATTGCAAAGCCTGAAATGTTCACCGTCTGGTCCTTTACGGTGCGTGGCCGCAGCCCCTGCTCTAGAGTAGGAAGCACTGTGGTCATTCTGTGTAAACGGAAGGTTCTCGCTGAGTTGCTGCAGTGGGAAGTGTCAGGTGGTAGGGACTCAGCCTGGATGCAGAATTTGGTTTGTGATGCAAATGTACAGCTTTGGAGACGAGGACTCCAAGTCCCCTGCAGATTCTCAGAGGGTCCCGGACTTCGAAACAGAGGCCCTGTGTGCGTTCCCTGTGTGGGCAGGCTGAGCGAGGAGACTCACGCTGGCATCCTCGGGCTCGGGAGGCTGATCTTGTACGAGCCTTGTAGGTCGTGTTAGAATCCAGTTCACACGGCAGGATGGGGCGTGGGCCGTGTAGAACCCCACGTGGATATGCCTGTTCAGGGAGCCCCTCTTCTCTCCTTGGTCGCAAGGTGACTTCCCCCGTTCTGGTCTCCTATGACACACATCTTCAGAACGCTCACCCTGGGTACCACGAATGGGGCCCCTGCTTCCCCTCCTCGTGACTGCATCCGAAACTTCCAGGGCCACAGCCCAGGGCCACACCCCAGACTTAGCTGGGGCCTGAGGACCGTGGCAGTGCCAGCCTTGTGTCTGTCCTCTAAGCATCCATCTCTCTCCGCCCGTGTGAGCCCTTTTTAGCCGTGCCTTGTCGATCATGATTTATATGCGATCACCCGTGCGGTGTAGTCACTCACAAATGAAACAGTGACAGGCTACATAGGTGGAGGGAATAAGCATCCAGAGGAGTCCTGGTTTTCGTTTCAGGTGCCTGGACCGCAGGGTGTGCGCCCTGGCCCCTCTGGGCAGACGTTGAACAGCCTTTCTGCACTGCTGTGGAATCACAAGCACAGCATCATGTACCTGCACATAATCTTAAAGAAATCACTGTAATGCCCCAACTGGTGTGTAAAAGAGAAAGAATTTGTGGCGATTGATGTATATTTCCGAGGGAATGCTTGCTACCTCGACACTGGAAGACAAAATGAGGTAGGTGGACATTCAGGCTGACTTGTGAGAAAGAATAAGTTCGGATTTAAGTGAAATAAAGTACTATTCAACTAGCACTTTTTAAATTACACCCTGAAAGGAAGACCCCATGAATTTGCTTACACATAAGCAGCCGCCACCACGGTCACTCAGAAATCCTGTTCCTGATTCCCACAGAGGCCTGGCCATGGGGATGCGATCCAAATAGAGTCACGCTGCATCAGCTCAAGTGAAAAAGGCTCAGGCTTCCCCAGCCAACAGGCAGCTGCGCTCCCAGAAAATCCAGTACATATCCAAGTGTGGGAGGCAAAGTCCGGTTCTGAGGGGCTTTGGACTAGGTGTTCAGCCTTTGGGGACGCTCAAGTGGGGAGGGGGGTCCCAAGGGCCCTGCGAGGCACAGGACTGTTGTGATATCAGGGTCCCTGCCTCCTGGGGGTGGACCCCCCTCGTGTGAAGACCCAAAGGGCCCGGATGCCTGCAGGCGGACAGAGTGCTCCCCGGCCGCTGTCCCCCTCAAGAGCCACGGCTGTACTAGCAAGGCCCCCACGCTAGTGTCCTCTGCAGTGCTGATACACTGTGTGCAAGCGGGAGACAGACAATGAACACCGAGTGAGCGGACACGAACAGCAAGGTGGGCTTGGGAGAACGGTGGGCAAATTGGATGCGACCCAGGCCCAGGCCTGGAGGAGCTGTGTGGGTGACAGATTTGAGGATAGGGTCCCTGCGAGCTCCCTCTGTTCTCATGGGACCCAGCACAGTGCTGGGGACACAAGTACTAATCCCCTTTCTCTGCTGCTGCTCCCACTAGGCAAACCCTCACCCCAGACAGAGGGCGACCTCCCCCATGACTTACGCGGGTGGCCTGGCCATTGTTGCGCGCTCACGTACCACGCAGATGTCAGTGTGAGCGGGGGCATAGCACACCTTGTGACGCTGACCCAGTCGGACGCGGTGGAGACGGCAACAGAGCACCCCAAGGTCCGGGTGAAAAGCTGTGCGGTGCACGGACCCGCTCGGGGCCCTGGAGATGGGCTGGAGGCCAGGGCAGGGCGGGGACAGTGGGGTGTTTTCCAGCCTCAGGTGACTTCTGGGGCTCTAAGGGACCCTTCGGCTGAGAGGAAGCACAGCTGTGTTCATTCCTGTCATTTTCTGCAGTTCTCCTCAGCAAATCTTGAAGGGATGAGCAAATGCAGTTAATGTAAAGCACAGGTAAGTTGTTGGTTTTGTTTCGCTTTGTACTAGTGACTGAACTCAGGAGCCAGGCATGCAAGGCAGGCGCATCACCCCTGAACTGCAGCCCCAGCCCGGCGCAGTGTCTGTTAGACACCTGGAGTGGTGACCAGTGTGTAGAAGATGCAGTATGGAGGGTGTCATAGAACAACGGCCAGAGCAGCCTTGTCTACACCAGCAACGCCTGCCAGCACCCTGCTCGTGGGGTCAGAGGAGCAAAGGGCTTGAGGGCGTGGCACATCCTTGGGGTCTGCAAGCTCTGGGGGCTTGGGCTGAGCGCTGTTGTTCTCTCTTCCGTAGGAGCATGGCAGGTCCCCTTGGCCTTCTCATAGGCATGGTCCTCATGGACAGCCCTGTGCTCGGAGTCCAGCCCTGCTCCTCCGATGGTCAGATAGCCTTGTTCCGTTCCTGCAACCTCACCCAGGTGCCCCCAGTCCCCAACACCACAAGGAACCTCCTGCTGAGCTTCAACTACATCGGGACGGTCACCAGCACGTCGTTCCCCTTCCTGGAGCAGCTCCAGCTTCTCGAGCTCGCGGCCCAGTTAAAACCCTTGACCATCGGCCCAGAGGCCTTCCAGAACCTGCCCAACCTCAGGATCTTGGACCTGGGCAACAACAAGTTCCACATCCTGCATCCGGACACTTTCCAGGGCCTGTCCCGGCTGTTTGAGCTTAGACTGTTTTCCTGTGGTCTCTCGGAGGCTGTGCTGAGGGACGGTTATTTCAGAAATTTAAATTCCTTAGCCCACCTGGACCTGTCCTTCAATCAGATTAGTAGCCTTTCCCTTCATCCTTCATTTCAGGAGCTGAATTCCTTAAATTCCATGGATTTTTCTCTCAACAAAATCCTCACCGTATGTGAGGGCGAGCTCAGCCCGCTCCAAGGGAAGACGTTGTCTTTTCTCAGTCTCAGATCGACCCAGGTGTACAGCAGGGGGCTAGACTGGGAGCAGTGCGGAAACCCATTCCGGAATCTGCGGCTGGAGACCCTGGACGCTTCCCAGAACGGCTGGACAGCGGCCATCACCGGAAACTTCAGCAGCGCCATCTCCGGGAGTGTGGTTTCCTCTTTGATTCTTCAACACCACATCATGGGCTCTGGATTTGGCTTCCATAACATCAAAGATCCTGACTGGAGCACATTCGCAGGCCTGGCCAGAAGCTCGGTGAGGAGCCTGGACCTCTCGGGAGGGTTCATCTTCTCCCTGAACCCCAGGCTCTTTGGGACACTCAAGGACTTGAAGGTTCTGAACCTTGCCCACAACAAGATAAACAAGATCTCAGACGGAGCATTCCTCGGACTTGACAGCCTGCAGATTCTCAATATGTCATTTAATCTCCTAGGGGAACTGTACAATTCCAACTTCCACGGGCTGCCCAGCGTAGCATACATCGATCTGCAGAAGAACCACATTGGGATCATTCAGGACCAAACCTTCAGATTCCTGGCAAATCTCGAGACCTTGGATCTCCGGGACAATGCTCTGAAGACCATTTCCTTTATTCCAAGCATACTGACTGTCTTCCTAAGTGGCAATAAACTGGTGACCTTGCCAAACATTGACCTTAGGGTCAATTTCATCCAGTTATCAGAAAACAGGCTGGAAAAGCTGTCGGATCTCTACTTTCTTCTCCGGGTACCGCATCTCCAGACACTCATCTTAAATCAGAATCGCCTTTCCTCTTGTCAGCCAGGTCTTAGCCCTTCAGCAAACCCCAGCTTAGAAAACCTTTTCCTAGGAGAAAATATGCTGCAACTCGCCTGGGAAACCGGGCTCTGCTGGGATGTCTTTAAGGGGCTTTCCCGTCTCCGGGTTCTGTTTCTGAATAATAACTACCTTAATTTCCTCCCCCCTGGGGTATTTAGTGACCTGGCTTCACTGAGAGGACTTAGCCTCAGCTCCAACAGGCTGACAGTGCTCTCTCCCGGCAGTTTACCAGCCAACCTGGAGGTCCTGGACATATCCAGGAACCAGCTCCTCTCTCCTGACCCTGGCTCGTTCGCATCGCTTCGTTCCTTGGACATAACTCATAACAGGTTCATCTGTGAGTGTGAGCTCAGCACTTTCGTCAGATGGCTCAACCGCACCAGCACCACTCTGGAGGGGTCTCCGGAGGACATGTCCTGCGCGTACCCTGCCTGGCTCGCAGACGTGTCCCTCTACTCTCTCTCCACAGAAGGCTGTGATGAAGAGGAGGCCTTAAAGTCCCTGCGGTTTTCCCTTTTCCTCGTGTCTCTGACCACTGTGACCCTGTTCCTCATGACCGTCCTCGTAGTCACAAAGCTCCGGGGCTTTTGTTTTCTGTGCTACAAGACAGCACAGAGCCTGCTGTCGGGCGACCGCCCCCTGAGGAGAGAATCAGACACCTACAAGTACGATGCCTACTTCTGCTTCAGTAGCAAAGACTTCGAATGGGTGCAGAATGCTTTGCTGAAACACCTGGACGCCCAGTACAGTGACCGAAACAGGCTTAACCTGTGCTTTGAGGAGAGAGACTTTGTGCCAGGGGAAGACCACATTGCCAACCTCCAGGCCGCCGTCTGGAGCAGCAGGAAAGTGGTCTGCCTCGTGAGCAGGCACTTCCTCGGCGACGGGTGGTGCCTGGAAGCCTTCAGCCACGCCCAGGGCAGGTGTGTGTCTGACCTGCGGAGAGTGCTCATCGTGGTGGTGGTGGGGTCACTGACCCAGTATGAGCTGATGAGACATCCGGCGATCCGAGGATTTGTGCAGAAGCAGCAGTACTTGAGGTGGCCTGAGGACCTCCAGGATGTGGGCTGGTTTCTCAGTAAACTCTCTCAGCACATACTAAAGAAAGAGAAGGGAAAGAAGGAAGACAGTGGCATTCAGCTGCAAACCGTAACCACCTCCTAGTGAAAGGGCAGCTTGCAGCACGTCCCGAGCCACAGAAAACTTCGCTTTGCATTTGTGCCAAGTTGCCCGTGGGAGTCCTTTCTGGGGTCTCCTTCCTGCTATGAAGAGAGCATCCATCTCTCGGTTTTCCTGTCCACTCCAGGTTTTGTCTCACTGCCCTCCAAACGGGAAAGAGCAGATCTAGAAAACTGCAGCTGTGCCTAGCAGCAGCCCCTTGCTCTCAGACCAGGGTTGCCATTCTGTCATGATGTGTGACGGCAGTGTCCCCAGCGTGGCAGGGACACCTTGGGGAAAGTGACAGATGGCTCCATGCTCTTGCTGGGGCTCTGCTCCAGAACGGGCTGGGCAGTGACTCTGAGCGTTGTGCTCTGCAAACCCACACTAAATAGGAAACAATCGAAGGGGAACCGTGCTTCCTTCCCCATCTACAGGGACAATGGCTGTGGCACCACTCCCAGATGAAAGGGGATGAAAGGTGGCCCTGGAGACCCTGGGGTGGGAATAACCGCACCCTGTGGCCACACTGCACTGTCATGGGTGGTGGAATCTTTCAGCTCAGCTCGGCCCTCCCAGGACTCCGCACCAAGCGACCTCCTCTCTTTCCTGCCCACCTCACCTTGTTCGTCAACTCCGCACGCTGCTGTAGGAAGAAACAGGCCCCGCACACAGATTTGGACTCCGTGGCTGAGAGCCCTGTGACCTGGAGTGTTTGGGTCCCCTTATCAGCTGGGCCATCACAGCACCACCTCCTAGAGCTGCTGCGGGACTCACCTGGGCCCCAGCATCAGGGCTGCTGGGCTCTCTCCATGCACTGCCTGGAGGCCGCAAGAGACCACGCACACTGGAGACTCCATGCCCGGTCACCACGGCTTTGGGTCTGGATTTTTTAATCCTAAAAGGAACCTATGTGTATTTTGCATTCTAGTCCTTTTTTATGTTTATTAATACAGACTTCTTTTTGCAAATCCATTAAGAAAATGTAAACCAAAGTGCGTCCTGATTACCCCTCACTCACATCCGCTGTGGACCTGCCACCCACTCCCCGGGATGCCTCTGCTGTCCCTCCCCGTGACACACGCATGCACTCATGCTCATGCTCACGTGCACGTGCACCAGCCCGGCTCTGTCGGGCCACTTCTTATCCAAGACACAGCAGTGTCCTCTGCCCGGTGATGGAATTGCTCCTTTGCAGACCTTTTTTCTGGAATGTTCTCCCTTATCTCCCCACATGTTTTACATGTTCTTCAAAATCCAGCCCCTGGAGCCTGATGGTCCATCCCACTCAGAGTCCCCTCGAACTTTTGTGAAGACTCTTGATGCCTTATCTGTTCTTTTCACACCGGCACGTGCTGTTCCTGCCTCCTCTGCCAGCTGGGAGCCCCTCTGGCCTGTTGAGTCCACCAAGGAGGACCTTTCTTCTGTGTCCCACCTGCATGTCAAGACATATCACAGGCGCCTTGAGCCACCTAGAGCTTCCCGGATGTGCACTGGTTCATCCTTGTCCACCCTGAGGAGTTTGCTCCCCTTTCTTCGTGGCCCTGCAGGTTTCTGTCCCTGAGCTGTGACACAGGGTCTGCCACTGTGTTTGGTACGATGGGATCCCGACAGCAGATCCCTGTCTGGCGGATCACATACTTCAGGCTGGTTGGTCCCTGGTCCCAGCACACGCTCAGTGAGCGCACAGGGTGCATGTGATGCCCACCTCCGTGTCCCCACCTGTGCCACTGGGCTCTCCAGGGGAGGCAGCGGCAGGGACAGCCACAGAGGCCTGGATGAGAGGATGAGACCCCAGGCTGTAAGAATCCGCGGCACATTTCATGGCGCGGAGCTCCTCCCAGGCTGGTGGGGGAGTCGCGGCCCACACCAGCAGCCAAGGAAGTTGTCCCTCGTGAGCTGATGGCGCTCCACGTGGAAAAACTCTGTCACAGCCTCTCCCAGCCCGCACTGCAGCACACACAGCTGGAGGCGCACCCCAAGTGGCTCCCTCAGGAAGCCCTTCCGCCCCTCATCTCCATCCCAGGGTCAGGGCAGAGTTCGCGTCACACGTCCCAGCCGCTCGCAAATCGACCATGTCTCTAATTCACCCAGGAATCTTTTTCAGCAAAGACCTGAAGTTCCCTTAAAATCTCTTCATTTGTCTTTTCTTCTGTCACCAGGCTCAGCAGCTGGAAATCATTTTGAGGCCATTTCCCGTGTCTTTTCCACTCTGTCAGTGTCTGGATGCCCAAGGGACAGGCCAGGGGGGCCAAGCAGGAAGTGGCATCCGGCACCCAGTAGCTGGAAGTCAGGCTCCAGGACACTGATAAACTCACCCAACGAGCACCCAGGTGAGCAGCATGGAGGAGGAAGCGGCTGTCCTGCTCACAGTTTTGAAGGGTCCACTCCACGGCCCGTGGCCCCCTGCTCTTGGGCCTGCCACAGGAAGTACACCATGGTGGGTGGGTGTGCTGGAGCAAGATGCCCACTGTGCAGCTAGAAAGCGGGAGGAAAGGGAGGAAAAGGCAGGGGCTTGGGTCCCATGGTGCCCTCTGAGAGCACAGGTGGCCCAAGACCACCATGAGGCCCTGCTTCTAAAGCCACACCCTCCCGTGGTGCCACTCTGGGGGGGACCCGCTAACACAGGGGCCTTGGGAGACACCCCGGCCCACTGCCATCCGCAGGGCATGGCCTTTGGGGTGTGCTGAAACAGTGGGAATAAGCCAGGAATCTGACACTGCCTACAGCTTACTGTGTTTGAAACTGAGACTGTTCTAGAAGATGTAGATATTCGTTGAGGCTGTTGAAAGCTTCAAAGGGACTCTCACTCATCACCCCAAATACTGACTTTGAAAATTCCTGTCAACCTCATGCATCTGCAGTGAATAATTTTTGATATAATGTAAAATAAAAGCGGCTTAAAGTTTTAAATCATGGAATAACACTATTGGGGGTACAGGTGCAAGATCATTAAATGTTCATCTGCTACAATAAAAATTAATATAAAATGTTTACAGTATTAAGTCTAGATATACCAGCACTTGGGAGGCTGAGGCAGGAGGATCGTTGTGAGTTCAAGACCAGCCTGGGCTACAAAGTGAGCTCAAGGTCAGCCTGAACTGTACAGGGAGACCCTGTCTTAAAAAAGGAAAAGAAAAGTCTAGATACACTGAGTACATATTTAGAAGTATGGAAAAGCCAGAAGAATAAACTTGAAGAGTTAATGGTGATGGCCTGGGGCAGTTCCGCCAGTTCTTCTTTGGAACATCCAGAAAAGCTGGAGAAGTTATTTCTAGAATCTTTTAAAGGCCCCAGAAGGCTACAAGGCTGTCCAAGTGGGGGAAGGGACCAAGAAGGGCATGTGTCCGGGAAAGACTCGGGGGAGAGGGCAGACCTCCACTCAGAACACGTTCGCTCCACACGTCTGGAAAGGCTCAGGGTGAGAACGTGGACGGGTGTCTACAAATCAAGAGGGAAAGACAACAGAAAAGAAAAATGGAAGCAAGGACAAGAACTTCGCAAAAGGTCATCCATCGCCCAACAAGCAAATGAAAAGAAAAATGCAAATGAAAACCTTGTGCTGCCCCTGCCACCCAGTGGAGGGTTAGGTTAAGAAGGCGACGGCAAAGATGCAGAACTCCTGGGCCGGCCCTGAGTGTGTGAACGCCGCTGCCTACTGCGGGGAAGTCCGTGCCCGCAGTGTCATGGGATGCTTTACGAACGGGTGTGTACACAACAGAACCCCGGGCACGTGTTCCCCGGGGGCACAGCAAAACGTTCTTCGCAGTGTTACTTGTATCAGCCAGCACTGGAAACACCCACATGTCCATTAGGCAGAGAGAGGATGAACCGCAGCAATCAGAAACCATCAGAAATGATGGCCAGTTACAGCTACATGCAGCACTGTAAGTGACTTCACAAAAATGTTAGGCCAAAGAGACGAGATGTTAATGATGATATACTGAGCGGTTCTGTGTTCAGAAGTTTAGGAAAGACAGAGCTCACCTATGGTGACGATGGCGATGAGGGTGGCCTGAGGGAGGTGGGCAGGGAGGGCTGAGGGGACTTCCAAGGTGCCGCTCTGTTCTTGGCTGGACAGTGGGGGACAGGTGCGTTCACTTGGTGATGATACAAGGTCGTCAAAATATACAGTGAACATTTAGCTTAAAAAATGTATTACAGTAAAACACACCCTGCCGTGGAGTCCTCCCCCTTCACACACAATCCCGTCATTCCCGCCACTTTCTGCAGCAATTCTGAAAGTCTTCTGTTGTGAGTGTCTTTTCATGCCTGCCTCAGTGTTCTGAATTGGTTCAAAATGTTTACAGCAGTTTCTGTCAAATAAAAACATGATGCTGTAGCTGGGCATGGTGCGCACACCTGTAATCCCAGCACCTAGGAAGCTGAGGCAGAATTGCTATGAGTTCAAGGCCAGCCTGGGCTACACAGTGAGTTCAAGACTTGGCGAAACTACATAACCAGACCCTGCTCAAAAAAAATGTATATATATACTATGTCCTGTGTCCTCATCTACCTTATCCACTGGCTGTGGTACCATGTGACTTCTGGCTCTTCCCCAAAGTCAAAATAACCCTGCAAGAGACACATCAAGGCAGCCAGGACAGCACAGCAAAAGACACTTAGGAAAGAGGGCTCCAGAGCTGCTCCAGAGCTGCTCCAGAGCTGCTGCAGTGCTTTCCTCACAACGGCATGAGTGTGTTTGAGGCAAAGAGGAGGGTTTTGAGAGAGACTCATTGGAAATGTGTCTTTTACTGTAGTAATTTTTTCCAAATTGAAATATTAACCATATTTTTCAGTCACATATCATACATTTTATCTGTACCCATTAATTCATTCATTTTTTGTAAGGTCTTTTGCTTCAGTTTAAAAACAAAAAATTTTAAAAATCAGGAGACTTGCTGTAGTTGTTAAATAAGACCTGTGGTGTACTGATTTGTATAGAAGGAGTGGGCGTTCTCTCTCATCCTTACTCTCAGTAGGGCTGCTTCTGGTGAGCTCCTCCGCTCCGTGCCAGAGGGGAACTCAGGCCGAGGTGTGGGGGACCGAGCACTGTGGGAGGGGGACTGCAGAGGTCATCTGCAGCGGTCATCCTCAGCTTCGGTGTCACCTTCTGTTTCACTAGCAGTACTCAGAACAGGTACGAAGGGATATCTCCTTACATAGCGATTAGAGCAGCAACGGTAACTTCTGTCAATGACAGAAGACAGAGAACATAGAGAAAATTAGCCAGAATTTTAAAATTAAACCACCAGTGGAATGAAAGTACTTCAGTGGGTGAACATACTTGCAAAAAATACATATATACACATGTGCAGAGTTTTGCTCAATTTTATTTTTCTTGAGATCAAAGGGATTTTAATTTGTTTTACTTAGTAATTAAGCATTTTCTTTCTCAGTGGCCACAGTAATTTCCACTTAGATCATGCTTTTAGGAAATGAAACATTTTCATTCTGCAGAAAATTCCATGGAAAGAACTCGCTAGGGCTCTGTGGTCCCCGTGGGCACCTGGGCCCAGGAGGTTCTGACAAAGGGCCTTTATTTCTAAACTCGGGGACCCGGTCCAAGGAAATCAGGGCTCTTTTCCTGGTGCAGGCCCCGCACCGCTGGGGAAGGCTGCTCGCTCAGAGAAGTGCTGGGATGCGGTGGCGACGTCTCGTCGCCCCCAGGAGGCAGGTGCTCTTTCCTCGGGGCTCGCACTTGCGGCCACACTCACGTTTCTCTGATGACCGGGCTGGTTCATTGCTCCAGCGCCGTCCCCAGCTGCAGCTGTGACGTTGGGCCATGCCAAGCCCGCAGGTCTGCACAGTGAGCCCCAGCAGTCTCTGCACACTGCTCCCACGGCCACAGGGAGCTCTGCAGAGAGGGTGCAGGAGCCCGTGGGGCTCAGGCTCGCGGACAGACACAGCGTCGGGGCAAGGTCAGAGTGGCGCACCGGCCTTGCGCAGGCTGCAGCCCCCAAGTGAGCCTGGGGCCCAAGCCGCTTGCCCTGGAGAAGGCAGGAAAGGCCCTCAGGCTGAGGCCAGCTCTGTGGTCTCACCCCCAGAGCTCCACATCTGGGGGCACATGGGCCATCTCCCCAGGGCTAGGAGGCTTGCAGAATCACTGGCACGCTTCTGGCATGCAGTGAACACGTGCTCACAGGCGGTGGCCGAGGGCCGAGGCCGGCTGTGTCAGGTGACGGTCGTGGTTTCCCTGATCCGGGCCCGCCTCTGGGCCCTGGTCTGCACACCCTGCTCTTCGTTCCCCCTTCGGAGGTCGGGTGAGGCAGTGCCTCTGGACTTCAGAAGAGGAAGTCCCAAAGCTGTCACCGAAAGAACCAACAGAGTGAACACACTCTAAGGGTTCTCCACAGCGTCCTCTGTGTGACCTGTGGGATCCCTGGGATCCTACCTGCACCGAGAGAGAGAATCTTCCTCACCCGGAAAGAGCCCCTCTTGCCAGTCCTGCCCCACCCAACTCCGATCACCAGAAGTTGGTGACTTCTATCAACGAAGACTAATTTTGCCTGTTCCAGAACTTCACATACATGGAATCATTCAGCCAACCTTTGCATGTATTTTGCTTTACTTAACGTACTTTTTAGGTGCTTCTAGCTTGTTGTTCCATTTATTTTGTTCTTGATGTCGTGTTGTACGGACATACCTTCGTTTATTTACCCAGCCCCCGCTGAGAGGGCTGGCTGTTCATTTTTTGCTGTTAGAATGAAGCTGCTAGGTACAGGCTTTCACACACCTCTGTAGACGGTGTCCGTTCTCCCGGCTAGGTACCTAGGAGTGAAAGCGTCAGGTCACAGGTGAGAGCGCTCTCCTGAGATGACCGACAGCTTACACTTCTGCCCACCCTGGTATGGTCAGCTCTGAGGTTCAGCCACCCTAGGGAGCGTGGGGTCGAGGCTCACGGTGGCTTCCATTTGCATTTCCCTATGACTGAGTTTCGACTGCCTTTTCACGTGCTGTCACCATTGCTAAGTCTTCCGTAGGAAGGTTCTGCTCCTCTTATGCTGATTTAATTGAGTTGCTGTCTTCACTACTGATCTGTAGGCAGGCGTGCTGTTGTTCAGCTACACGTCTCCTCCAGATGTATGCGGTACAAGTATTTTCTCAGTCCATGGTTTGACTTCACATTTTATAACAATGTTTTTAATGACAGACTTCTTTAATTCTGCTGAAGTCCACATATCAGGTTATCCCATGGCTGGGGTCCCGTGTCCCGCCTGGTGGCGTCCACATTCCCAAGGCCCTGAGGACAGACCTCCGTCTTCTTCTAGCAGCTGGGATGTAGCTCCCTCATTGTCAGTGCGTGGTCCCTGAGAGGTCTGGGGAACTGGCTGTGGCCATCGGGAGCTGTCCCCAGGCAGCGCTGCACCCTGGAAGGGGGCCTTGGCCAGGGGTACTGCTCTGTGCCTCACCACCCGCCTCCCTTCTGAGCAGGCCAGGGAGATGCTGCTCTTAGGCGGAAGGCCCAGGAGTCCGTGTGTCCTCCTTGGGCTGACGGGCAGCTCCGCCAAGGCTGGAGCCCTGGAGGGCAGGTGTGTGAGGAGCGTGCAAGGAGAGGACACGTGTGGGCGGCAAGCTGAGCAGGAGAAGGTGCTGGCTGGAGGGACCCAGGAGGGTCTCGGGAGAAGTGGGGCGGGCCCAGGGCAGAAGCCAGGAAGCCTGATCTAAACAAAACATGAGCCACCGCGTGGCAGGCCGGTGGGTGGACAGACAGGCGGAAGGATGGACAGATGGGTAGATGGACGGTCACTGTGGAGGGCAGCATGGAAATCGCACAAGGTAAGACCTGAGAGATGCCCCTGGCATTGACTAGATGGGGTCAGCGATGCCCCTAGAACACGCGAGGAAGCCACGGGCAGTGGGGCCAGAGGACAAGAGGCTGTGAGATCGAGGGTCAGTGGGGGCCAGACTGACCAGCCAGCCAGCCGTGCCCGTGGGTGTGTCGGGGAGACTGTGGTGGGGAGGAGACCCGGTTCCAAGATGGAAGAAGCGTA